CCCAAACGGGGTAGTGACCACACCGTGTGGTGACTCGGTGGGGACTCGGGGTCACCGCGCGGTTTTGGGACTCGGGTCGTTCTGCGAGGACGTCTCGGGCGACTGGGGCATCCGAGGTCCCAAAACCGTGCGTTGACGGACCGTGCGGTGAGGTCTTGGGGGATTTCGAGGTCACCGCACGGTCCGTCACCGCACCGTTTCGGGACTCCAAGGTGTGAGCTGATTCGCTTCCGTCAGGGGCCGCCGTCGGTCGACGGCCCCCCCCCGAGTCCCGAGACTGATGATGTTCCAACCTACTCTAGAGCCCGTTTCTGTATTGCTTGGGGCATGACGGGCGTCATGGCCCCCGCTCCCCCACCCTATGACGTAACGCTCCCCCCCCCAGTGCGCTCCGGGCACTGCCGCCGTGCGCATTGGGATCCGCGTAGGTGTCCGCGTAGGAATCCGAATAGGAGTCTGGTCCGCAGTCGTCGTCGACGTCGTCGTCGTGGCTCGTGGCTCGTCGCTCGTCGCTCATCGTCGTCGTGCGCGCGGACACGGCTGGAGCCTGTTTTTTTACTCCCGGCCGATGACGGCAATCATCTTGGGGGGGTCACCGCACGGTCCGTCACCGCACCGTTTCGGGACTCGAAAGTCAGGAGGGAAAGAAACACACAGACACAATTAATCGTCGATTTCCAAGAAAATATTGAGAAATGTGGGAAGTGGGGGGGAAGACAAAAACCCAGAAAATATAGGAAAATATGGGGAATATGTTTATTTGTGTGTATTTATTTGTGTGTCCCAGGGCCCCTTCAGAAAGGTCCCCCGAGAGGGTCCTCCTCAGCGCGTGCCTCCCCCGCTGCGGGCGCCGAGAAGCGAGCTCCGGGGCTGCCCGGGGAGGTCGGCCGCGGCAGCTCGCGCAGGCAGCCCTCTGATAGCCTCAAGTGGGCCTGTCCCTCTACAGGAGTAGTGTAAAAAGTAGTATGGGGACGTTTTTGTGTTTTTTTTTTTTTTTTTTTTTTTTTGTATTTTTGACCATGTTTTATTATCTTTGGAATCTTTTCAGTTTTTCGTCGAATATCGGCTTGTAGGGGGACGTGCCCGACCTAACGATAGCCGGGAGCTCTTGGGGTCGTGCTGGGGGCCTTGGGGTCCGTCTTGGGCGCGACGGCTCTGTCGAGGTCTCCCGACGAGGCTTGGTGCGGTAGCTTCGTGTCGTGTCGACAGGCGGCGACCCTGCCGCCGGTATTCCACGTTGATTCGGATGCAACTCCTGGGAGGTGAAATTCTGTTTTTGCCCTGGTCCGAACTCCGGCTTAATCCGGAATCCCGTTTAATCCGGCTTAATCCCGCTTGATCCGAGGCCCACTCTGGCGTAACAGCCCCCCAAGGGGGCGTAATCCTCCTTAATCCTTCGACGAAAACCTCCTAGTAGTTGCCTCCTAGCGTTGAACGCCGCGGGCGACCCAGAATCGTCCGATGTAGAACGACTTGGACGTTTCGGAAACGGCCGATCGTTCAAGGTTGAACGATCCCCGCGGTGTCAGAAACCAACGCCGAAGTCGGCACGACACGAGTCTGACGCAACACCAGACAGTGGCCTTGCTGGATATTTCGTGGGGCGGTTTCGTGCTGCCCTGGTTCTCGGGCCGTATCGAGGATTCTGGGGGGGCCGCCTAGGACCGCTTCGGGGGGTTATTCCTGAGCTCGTTGAGGAGTCCCTGAGGCCACCTTAGACCGGACCACATTGAGACCACATTGAGGCCAACACGCACACACACTTACACAAAAGCAAGCCCATGCACATGTATACGAGCGTACTCTCTCGCATGCGCACAGGCACACACACACACATACGCGCGGACCAAGCGATCGCACGCACACGCGCACGCACACGCGCACACCTAGCTTTCTCTGGTGGCCAGGTGACGTCACTGTGGCGGATGACAGCAGGAGGCGCGAGCTGCCGCGTGAATTCCCCCAGGCGTTGCGGGCGGTGGGCCGCGCAGGGCGAGCCCGCGTGCAGGGAAACCTACCCAGCTTGGTGGGGAGGACAGGCGAAGCCGGCATGCGCAAAGCAAAGAGGGGTGCACACGCACACGCACGCACACACACACCACACACACACGCACACGCACACGCACACGCACACGCACACGCACACGCACACGCACGCACAGACACGTACGCACGCACACACGCACACGCACACACACACACGTACACACACACACTCTTTTGGCGTCACGGCCTTGAGCGCGGCGACAGGGCGTAGAGGGTTCGAAAACAGCAAATCGCTCGCGCGCGTCGAGGACGCACGCACGCACGCACACACGCATTCACGCACACACGCACACACGCACACACGCACACACGCACACACACACACACACACACGCACACACGCACACGCGCACACACACGCACACACGCACACGCGCCCACACGCATTCACGCACAGGGGCACCGGCGCACAGGCGCACACACACACGCACACGCACACGCACACGCACACGCA